CTTTTTGTTGTTTTTTTTAAATTATGTTGGTTTTTTTTTTGCCATGCTGATTGATGTTGCTGCAGTCGTTTTTGGTTTTTTTTATTTGACAATTGACCAGAACAAGACTCTATGTGTACTTGTTCGTGGGTAGTACCTCGCTGCTGCGTCTCATGTTGTCGCTGTGGTGATCGAACACGTTTAAAACAGTTTATATTTCTGCACCGTGTTGCAAGGACAAAGTATCATTTTATCAAACTTTCTTCATTTAATACGAAGTGAATCGTCGGAGTGGCTGGTCAAGATTCTAAATCTTCACATTAATATTCAGCCTTTGGGAGCAGAAAGATGTAAAGGTTTGAAACTTAGCCTGCTTCTTATATTGAGTTTGCTTTATTCACGCAGAAAACATATGCCTACAGTGACATACCTCAGACTAGATGGAAGTACGCCTGCGGGCTCGCGTCACTCGCTCGTACAAAGGTAAGAATTCTTTCATTTGAGATTTTTCGGTTCCGGTTATTGGGGTTGGTCGCGTAACAAAGGGAGGAGACGATGGTGTGGTATCCAAACAATATTACAAGACAACCTACGACATATAAGCTATACACGCAAGTCCAGTATTAGATGCACGCCCCGCCTTAGATATCGTCTCGACATTAGAATACGCAATTAATCACCACAGCTATTTGAAAAGTAATAAAGGGGTAAGTTTCTAAAGAAACTGTGGTGCTGCGTCGGTGGGAGAGTATAGCAGGTAATTTAGTGTTAACAACTGGGTTGAAAACGTAAATTAGCCACCGTAAAGGGTAAAAAAGGCTGACGTTTCGAGCGTTAGCCCTTCGTCAGAGCCATCGCTCTGACGAAGGGCTAACGCTCGAAACGTCAGCCTTTTTTACCCTTTACGGTGGCTAATTTACGTTTTCAACCCAGTTGTTAACATTAAATTACCTGCTATTTGAAAAGTACACGACACTTTCACAAGTCTGCCACACCTTGACAGCTATGTTACAGATGGCTACTCCACGAACAAATCATTGCCATGTTTCTTTAATGCACCCTGAATGGGCCGTCTGGTAACGATTTTCTGCCTTCAACACTTTCTTGGATAATAAACGCGACGTTTAACAGCTTTTCTGTTACTTAGAGACTTTTTTTATCCTTAGATTTAACAACGATCCCTCAATCGACCTTCTATTGTTGAAGACACATGTTGGAGGACTGGGATTGAATCTGACTGGTGCCGACACGGTCATCTTTGTGTAGCACGATTGGAACCCAATGAAAGACCTTCAAGTACGTAATCACCAACCCTTTGAACCTTTCCCCAACTCCCTGTTTATTTCAATTTTTATCATCTTTGCTCAAGCCTTGTTTTGGTAGATGCGATCAGTTGCCTTTTCTTGATTGCTTCGATCATCTTTTTAGGCCATGGACCGAGCTCATCGTATTGAACAGAAGAAGGTTGTAAACGTCTACAGATTGATAACCCGGGGAACACTCGAGGAAAAGATTATGGGGTAGGCTTTAAAGCAGCACTATTTGAATCATACGGCACAGTGTAATTAGGCTTTATTTTGAGGTTACAATCTCGACGAGAAACCTCCTTCTTTAAGCCATTTAGACATCCTGAGATAGGACTAACATTAACGCTCGATGCTCGTAGCAAAGTTTGTTCCGACGGTGGATGACGCTTGGAAAGTCAGCTTCTCAAACGTTTTTCCACTTTTTTTGATGTAAATGTCTCACCTGCCCTTTGACGCAGCAATAAAAGTTTATTTATGAAGGAGTATCGTCGTATAAACAATTATTCCACGAGCGCGCGTTGGATATGAGATGAAGGGCCTCGTTGGCGATAATCATCTCATATCCAACAAGAGCGAGTAGATTCACCGTTTTATCAAAAATGCCCCAAACTATAAATAAATCTTCCCCAACTTTATTTTGTAAGAAGAACGGAATGTTACAATGTATAAAAACACTTACGATTTAACTCGTCTTCATGCGCGGGCGTGATGACTCATAACTCATGATGGCTAAGCCAATGAAAACTCTTGAATTGAATTATCCAATGATCCAGTTTTTAATAACAACTTGTAGTCACCTTTCCAATTTCCCCAAGGTGGATAGAACAGTCAACACCTCTTTCGCGTCTTCCTTTGTTCTCAAACTTATGAAAGACATTCTCATTGTCCGCTCGTTTCTAAACCTAATTGTCAAGTGATAACATACTATACACTTAGATATTTTATAAATTGAGTCTTCAAGTCGGACTTTTTTTTTCTGTTAGACTCCAGAAATTTAAACTGAACATCGCCAACACAGTGATCTCGCAAGACAACTCAAGCCTATTGACCATGGATACTGGACAACTCCTCTTTTCTCGGATCTCTGTAAGAAAAGGCCAATTTGATTTTCACACTACGTGATTCATATCTTCACGATCACGGCCATATGTCACGCTTTTTTTAAGTCACGCAAACGCAGATTTGGAGAGCATTTGCATGTAATTTTAATAAAGCAATCAGTTTTCCAGAGGGTATTTAAAACTAGTTTAATGTAATACTTTTGCTGGCTTTGAGGAAGGAACATTTCAGGAAGACAGTAGGTTCATAACACATATTCGGGAAAAACTAATTAA